GCAAGTCTTCATTTTATTTCTCGCCTCGAGCGGGGAACCCTACTAATCCCTTTACAGTACCCTCTGTTCTAGAAGGAATTCAAACCAAAAGAAAACACAGATACCTTTCAGGGACCCGGGACATTTGGGCAACAGCCTCGAACCCGTGAATCACTTCAAGACTACGAAAACAGAACGAGACAATTCATGAAACGGAGTATGGGTTGTAATGTTATGACATACAGATCGAAAGGGAGATACAGAAGCGTGAGTAAGCAAGCGGAACGTGAAAGCAAACAAATGCTGACCAAAGAGGTGACCTTGATGTGATAAAACAATGAGATTCAAAGAAGGAAGCGTACATGTAGGATAGCAGTTGGGTGATCACTACAAAGGATCAAGGGAGATATGATAGAAACATCTAAGATAACGAAAGGGTTGTTTGATACTAGACCAAGAATCCGGGAAGTGCGGGATTCCCGTACAAGGGGATACGAAATGAAGCTAGCCAAGGCCCGGTCTCCATTGATCGTCTGGTCGCACTTTTTCAGCAACAGGGTGGACAACCCGTGGAGCTAACAGAACTGCAGACCGTGCTAGTATTCAAGACGGCCCTGGATGAACGGTGGTCTGAACTCGTTACTGAAGTGGTCTGAACATGTATCTACTGACCTAAAAGAACTAGGGAAGTAGGAGCGGGACACTTAGATTGGATGTTTTTTGTTTCATCCTGCCTTTTTTATTTGGAAGTGGCCTGATTGATGGACGCTCAGGAATAATATTCTCTTGCCTTGTAGGTGAGCTGAGGTATCGTTCTAGGCTGGAAGTTCGAGCACAGTTTCTAAAAAGCCGTGTAGTGAACAGCTGGAGCAGACTCCCAGAAGCAGTTATCACAGCAACGAATGTGATAAGCTTCAAGCACACACTGGATGACTGCTGGCTGAGTGTATTCCCTGATTTGGAATGATCAGTTCAAGGTAAACCGTAGGCCAATCTGGAAGTCCCTATTGAAAGTTCGGACTTATATCTTGTTAGTTTTCCTATCACCCTATTCCTTTTCCATAAATAACTTCTATTTTCTATCACTTATGAAGTAAACCTCTTGCGTTCTCCAAGTCTTCATTTATACCTTTTACTTACCCGCTGGTAGAGCGTGCCTGGCTTGAAGGATTCGCATAGAAACCGGTTCAGGCGAAGACCCTTTGTTGACTGGAGCCTACTTATATTACCGATTGAACATTCCAACATCTCGTTTGTACCTCAAGCTGACTGTCATCCAGAAACCTGAAGAGAAGGATCACAAAATTCTCCTGCAGTCGAAGCACAATGGGATCGCATCAGAGCTCACAAGTGCAAGGAACTGGACGCATTGGCAACAGCCGCAAGTCCTGTGTGTGTAACCGATATTTCGCTTTTCTTCTTCTTTTCAGCCAGGAACTTACGGACTACTTTTGGCGGTGGCGGGTGCCGTGCTTGATCGCATACCACCAAAAGAATTCTCAATTGACCGTGGCCATTTTCTGTCCTATTCAAACTGAACTGAACACGTCTTCCCCTCTCTTTTACTTCGTTCTCACGCCTAATCTCTCTAAGGGCTCTAGGTTTTTACTTTAATCTGCACCGCTACCCCTTTACACCAACTAATGAGTCGCAATGGGTGGTTTGAAATTCCCATGATTCTGCAACACCATTCCTGATACAATCCCTCGAACCGGAGCCTTGCGAACAGATCTCTCTTTGTAGTTGCACACTGTTCGTTTAATTGAGGAAGAGTTTTCACTTCCTGTCGTCTTAGCAGAAGTGGATCCACGGAGCCCATCAGTGCAAGAAGCTGGACAAATGGGGATGCCGCCGCTACATCCTGTCAATCCAACTAAACTAACCTGACTCAATTTGTTTTACTCGACTAAAACTGTATTTACACACATAGAGGCTTCTTGAACCTGGTACAATGAAATATTTCAGTACGACCTAGTTTGGCAATAGTTTACTTGTGTCTTCAATGTTCCCCAGTAGGTCAGGATGTTAGAACGTAATGTAGAACTCGGGTTTTTGGACAAATTTGGAGAAAATGAGGGGGTTAGATTGAGAAGACGTGCAGAATTGGCAAGAGATTACGAAGAGTTCAAGAAAAAAGACGAAGAAAAATTCAAGAACCGATTCGCAGATAAAAAGAGAGTCACTGAGCCGAAAACCAAGGAATTAAATGAAGAATCACTGAGCTATCTGAATGAATCTTCCACTCCAAGAGCACACGTGCAGAATGAAAAATTAGATGTGTCTCCCGGTCATCGACAGAATGATAACCAGTTTATCAGAAACTCTGAAGGAGATGTATCGATATCCGTGCTACAGCCTAATTCGCTGAAGACATTCGAGGAGCGAATAGCACAACTGACAGAAAAAATCGATTTATTATATCAGAGTAAAAACACACTTTCTGATCGCGTAGCAAAACAATATGACCCAACGTCCGGCTGCAAAAGGTATTTATTAAAAAATAACAGTAAATTTACCATAGTGTCAGCACCACCAATGATAACGAACGACATAATGGAGTGGATGATATACTGAATGCTAACCAGCTGAAATTGTAAGTAGTGCCTTGTTACATTTAAAATGACGTTGCAACATCATATTTCAGGTATGAACAAGAACTGCATGCACGCCTCAAAATGATCAAGGACGCCGAAGAACGTTTGTCTATGATTGAAAAGGAATACCGAGAGACTAAACTAGATTCAGAAAAAACTTACGACGACAACCCCACTGCAGACACAACCCTATCCGAGACGAAAATTATTAATTCGCGGGAGAAGGTTCCCATGTCGAATATTGATTTTATGCCTGCCGAGCGCTTCATGACCCCAGAGTCGAAATATCTTAAACAAAAGGCTTATAGAGAGGACCTAGAACGACAGATATTAGAAGCAAAGAGTAAGAAAATGGCAGAGAAAGAGAAGGACGATGAGGTTATTGGTCCCAAAGGTTCAGTCGATGCTAACTATTTCACTGGCAAGCAACTCAACTCGAGGAAGGAGATACCAATCAACCATGTTTTGTCTTACTCTCAACCACACAAAGGTGATCAGGAATATTTACTATATGGCCAGAATGATTTGATCAACTCCATCTCAATGCCTCAGAATTCGTCGGCAAGCTATAATTCACATGGTGACGTATTTTTCAAACCAGAAAGCACGAACTTTCTCGGGAGCACCAACACGCAACCTAACAGTTCACAAAACTCCAAAAAACTTCAATATGCTCAAGAACTGCGCCAACAAATAGAAGAAGCCCGCAAAAAGAAGGAACTACAAAAAAAGAAGGACGAGGAATTGGATCGTAAAATAGAAAAAGAGTGTGAGAGTTATGATCCGTTTGATACTGGTAGCACAAAGATTCATTTAAGACCGAGTTTGAACTCAACAGAGCTCAATAATCACATTGGAGAAGATAATTATGCCAGAGGTGGACATGGCATATTTGGAAGTCCTCTGACTGATGAGCAAAAGACAAACTTGCAGAAATATAAAGATGACTTAGCACAACAAATTGCCGAAAAGAAGCGGGCTGCCGAAATGCAAAGACAAAGGGAGTTGGAGTTAGAACGAAAGGAAACTGAACGCTTGGAAGCAGAACAACTGCGTATGAAAAAAGAATATGAAGAAGAACAGGCACGACTAAAAGCGAAGCAAGAAGAAGCGGAGCGATTCGCGGAACAGCAACGCAAGGAAGGTGAGATGAGGAAGAAGGCGAAACTAGAAGAAATAGAGAAGCTGAAGGCGAAATCCGTTAGTGAAGAACCTATAAGGTACTCGAAACAGGAAGATGAAAATCATAAGAAAAAACATAAACAGAAAAGGCAAACGGAACGCCTAAAAAGCCCAGAATTACTAATTGGTCCTGATCGATTTTCTAAAACCCGTGATGTGGGTAAACCGAAAGCAATAACTGATCAAGAGAGTAGCCCCATTATCAAACAGCTGAACAACTTGCGAACCCAATTAGATATTGAAAAGCAAAAGCTTGAAAACGCATTACTAAAAACGAGAAACAACAATGGTAATGAAGCTTATGCTAATACAGATGAAGCCAGATGGCGACCGAGGGTTTCCAAGAAAGGATCATTTCTATTTTCAAAAGATGAACATCCAAAGGAGAGCAAGAATATACATACGAACATTACAACTAAAAATTGGGTTGAAGAATTGGTGAAAGAAGAAGACCGTGCATTGATGGAAAAAAACCAGGCTTCGTACCTCCAAGCACAAGATGAATATCTAACAGAGTTGAAAGATAGTCTTGCTCTTCTAAGCTTGCAGGAGATACAGAACGATGCTAAGCTAAAAGCGATTTTAAATGAAAACCAAGAAAATAGCGTGAGACACATATCACGCAACAGCTCGGAAGATCTGGATGAAAGACCATCCAAACTTACTCCTAGATCTGTGTCTGTATCATCAGTGAACTTAGAAGAAATTGCTGCAAAAAATGAGCAAAGGCTCAAACGTTTAGAAGCAATGCAACTCCTGAATGATATTGATGCCGACCCAGAGGCAGTATTGCAAAGATTCATTGAGAAGCACGACGAAGTCCAACCGAACAAACATAAGTTCTATTGCTACTGAACCGGCTGTGGTTTGAACTATTGTACCCAGATGGACCTGTTTATGTACAGTTGCTTTTTGTTCCGTTATTTTAGAATTAAAGTTTACCAAAAGAATTGTTTGAGTTTATTACACTGTTACGCTTTCGTTAGAGTGACTCAGTCACATGGGTCCCGTTAGGCTCCCTGAATGGGGACCTCGGAATGATGATCGTAACCGAGGGTTAGAGACAATGAGTGTGATATGGCTGTCGTAAACAGTACCCATCGTACATCTCAATTTCTTTGCAACATTAGTCTACTAAACTTCTCCATTTCCGACTCAACTCTACTTTCTCCTACTGTTCATTCAAACGGGCAGCCAAAAGACAGCAACCGAAACAGACGCACAATAATTCATGGTTATTGATTTAAAATGAAACTGAATAGGTTGGTCTTCCAATTGCAGTGGTTTCCCGCTGTACCGTTTTTAGTCAGTGCACGGAAAAATGAGGAGAAAAGCTACATACTAATGTTCGTGAACCTCAGGTTGAATGAAGCTAGACACAAAATCGAAATAGCTATTCGTATATTTTTATGCTTAACAAACAAATGGATACGCTGTAAATTTAAATGAATAATGGGAAACAGACGTGCTATAAGACAACAGTTATTCACTTCTATATGACGACATTTCGCTGGAAAGATATGAAACGTTTCTGTATGCGTATTCGCAAATCCACCATGGAGCGATTTATATAGTTATACCAACTACATGAATTTAACTGCAGTTCATCCAGTAAAATCCAACAGAATAGCTTACCTTGCAGAATTATTACAGGAAGTGTCCTATAAGCCCACATGATAACTGGAAAAATCTGTGCAGCATATCGAATGATTTCATGGGAATTTCACTCTGTCACTTGTGCACCTCTTATCGTAAAACACTGAAAACTGACACCAGTGGTGAGGCTTTTGAGAGCGAAAGCATCTAGTGCAACAAATATTAACTCGGAATCACTGCTAAGAATCTGTGAGAGGATCTCGTCTGATAAGTAATTCTCCATTACCGAATGTCATGCTGTAGAAATGAAACAACTGCAACGATAATGGACAATGGATAATGGTGCACATAAGAGCTCTTCGCGTTCGGCATGGTCTCCGCAAGTGGTACATGCTGTCGGCATAAGGGTACCAATTGAAGTGGCCCTTTAGACAAAAGTTGTGTAAGATGGAAAACCTGAGTGACATACATGGAGATATAAATAGGTCTGAAGAACTAATAAACGGTCTGTTTCAGGACTGACTTGGTCCGCCAAGGGCTTACTATAAACGCTAACCAAAATGATTGTAGTAGAATAAAATTCCCCAGCATGAGATAAAAATTTGGAGCGGCTGTCATTGAAGAAATCGTGCGCTGTGCTTACAGTACTATATTATTACAGGAATGTTTGGATTAGCCATAACTAAAAAAAACAAAAACGTTTTAATGACGATGTTTAGCCCCCTCCCTTGAGAGGCTCTTTCTGGGTCAATTGAACATTAAACAAAACATGAGGGAAAACGTGCCAAAAATGTTTTTTCAGTAGAAAACCTGTGGTGGTAAACAAGATCATGGCAAGTGGGTGGTAGTGTGTGGCATCAAACCAATGAGCTGACAACTGAGCCCCATCCAATCAACTGACGCAATTTTAAATGCTCTTGATGAGCAATGACTAAGCAATCAATAGCACTACATTGTATCGTAACTTTCGCAACTTCTCACGCACAGGTGATTCTCTTCTCCAATAATGTTTCATAAAATCTTCCCTCCGTCATCTAGATTCACGCATCCATAAATTCTCTGAAATGATTATGGCTATCTTTAATTACTGCTACCCCGCTAAAGTTCTGTAGGCTCCCAATGGATGGATACCAACTCGCTATGAAGAAAAAAGGAATGTGCACTTAAGTCCCATAAATCTTTAATGAGTAAAAATAAGTGTTAGCCACCCATCCACACTTAGCAAAGCTGAAATAAACAAACAAGATCCATTATTATCCGACAGAGTTTTGAGGAATGAAAACAGCAAACACCTGTTGCAAGGTATCAGGCTTACATGTGGAAAGAAGATAGTACGGTAGAAATTGGGTGTGGATTTTGATGATCTCGATGCCACATTCCTACGTTAGTCCCCGGACATTCTTCCTGCCTACTCACCACACAATATTTGTAATGTGCAACCATTCTCAAATTAGGCTATAATAAACTTTCAAATAGTTGTAATTCATTGTCTGCTGCAGGCCCGGCACTCCTAAATT